TCCAGCACTTTCTGCTTGGCAGTTTTGAAGTTCTGACGAAGAAATGTATTTTCTGCCTGCAGGGATTGGACTTCATCCTGCAGGGTTTGAACATGATTCTGCAGGTTTTGGTTATTTTCCTGCAGAGCTTTTTTTCAACTTGCAGCTGGGTTAGCTGCAAAAAGGACTTAGGTTGGGAAAGAAGGAGGAGTTGCCCTAGAACATCCAGGATCATGCTTTGGGGACTCTCGGTTCTGTGGTTGACATGATCAACTAGCTCCTTCAACTTCTCATCACAAATGCTAATTGAATAGCTATTCAGGTTGGTAATCTCCTCTAAGTAGAGGTGCATCAGACCAGGGACAGTTTCTTGCAGTGCTGTCTCGGCTGATCCAAAAGGAGTCTAAGCTCCTGGCTCACATAGGGTCTTGGCACGCATTTTATCTGGAAAAATGGAACCCCATTGAGCCATTGTTAGCAGAGCTGCTAAGCTAAACATAGCTAATTCAACAGGAGAGCAAAACTGATTTAAGTATACAAACATATCGCTGCACTCTATCCTGGAAGCTGCTAAACTAAACCAAGCCAAATCAGCAGGAGAGCAAATCTGATCTAAGTTTCCAAACTGATCATTGAGCGCTATCCTGGAAGCTAGTTTAAACTAAACAAAGCTAAATCAACAGGAGAGTAAATTTGATATAAGTTTAATTCTGACCACTGCTCTATATCCTGGAAGCTGTGTGAGGGGATTCACATCTCAAGTCCTCTGGATTGGGGGAACTCACACCTCTCAGACAGCTGGCTATGCAATAATTATTTAGATTATCCTCTCATTTGGCCAAATGGCTAAATTGTTGTCTCAAAGAAGAAGGAAAACAAAAAAATGTAAACTACTCAATTCACCAACACACAACAACATAACTAAAACCCAACTTGATGTCTGCTTTGCTCAAACAACAAACCAAAATTCAATCTTCCAAAGAAAAGAGAATTTTCTTCAGAAGAATCTCTTTAAGATTAGAATTTTGGATTACTGTGCATTAACAGTGTAATAAAGCTGGTTTTATTGAGGACCTCACACGGGGCACCATTTACGTATGGGTTTTGCAGAGTTAATACAAGTAACAATATTATAAACTTGAGTTAATAAAAACCAGGGGCACCACTCTGAGCTAAGAGAACAATAACCAAATATAACAAAATCAGTCTCGAATTAATTATTTAAAGACTAATATTATTAATCATTAATAACCTGTATTTAATAAATTGAAGGCGTGAAATCTGTACAAAAAGCCCATGCACCCATCTTATATCACAACAAAGATACACCAGTAATCACAAACAACTTTTCTTTAAATTATAACAGAATTTATTTACACAAAGCAACATAAATCCAAAATCAATGAAACTCAATCAAAGAAATAACTATTACAAACTAATCTAAGCAAACAAGATATCTACAAACAAACAGCGTGGCACATGTGTGTATGTATGTGTGTGTGTGTGTGTGTGTGTGTGTGAGAGAGAGAGAGAGAGAGAGGGAGGAGACAAGATGGAGGAGAGACAATGCACCATGTGGTCACGTCACATGAGGACAAAATGCTGGACAACAAAGGAAGCCGCCTGGCTTAGCATGAGCTTTCTGAGCTGAGTTCAGTAACTGTAACTTAATCATCAGAAAGCCAGTGGCCGGACTTTGATTCAACGGCAGGTACACTGGTCTTTCTGTTTGTGGAAGCCGTTAACTGAGAGTAAGCTATACAGCAGTGATTAAACACAGGTAGGTGAAAATGGCGGTTCAGCAACAAAAACAAATGCAGCATCTGTTTACAGCAGATAATAAACAGAATGTGACATTCTGTCAACAATAAAGCACAATTATCAGTTGTTATGAAATAATTCTTCTGAAACTATTCTGTGCCCAGACTAAAGCAAACAAGCTGACATGATCACTGATTGCATCAAAACTCTTAAAGAGATGCGTGTCCCCTCGGAAGCTGGAAGCATGTGAAGAGACTGAACAATGAGAGATGACTGCTTTTATCGACCCTACACTTGACACCTATGTGTTAGGTGTTACAGAGCATGCTGGGAGTGTTTCTGCAGAGCAGGGCATGCTGGGAGTAAGAGTCATTTCAAGTACTCATACTCAGGCTTCTGTATGGGCTACAGGCCGGACCTTTGTTTCAACACATGGAGATCCCAACACTTGTTACTTCTGATGACATTTAAACACCTCTAATCAACTAGAAGTTACGCAACCTGCTTGGAGGAGGCAGATGACATAATTTCCTGTTATGACCCTCAGACTCTGTCAGAGATGATTGAGCTCATCAGCTGACAGTGATGTCATAAAGGTGAGACCGCTTTATTATCCTTCACGTGCAGCTGAAATAAGAGAACAGTGATCAGACTGAGAGCTGTCAGAAATATGATCAATAACAGGCTGATGTGTGTTTTGAGTGTTAGTATTTATATTTGTAATAATAATAATAATAATAAAAATAACAGAAGTCGTATTAGGGATATAATTGAAATGTGTTTGGGTGCTGCTCTCTCTGCAGCCTGCAGGTGGCTCCCGCTGTCTGTCTGTCTGGTTGGGGTTTGATGTTTCTGCTGTCAACCAATCAGAACGTCTCCTTCAAACTGAACACTGATCTGGCGCCTTCAAACACGCACACAAACACACAAAAACAAACACACACACAATATATATATATATATATATATATATATATACGCTTACAGGCCTCCAATAAACGAAGAACAGAGAGGTGTGTGTGTGTCTGTGTGTGTCTGTGTGTAAGCTCTTATCTTAACATCCTCCTTCCACACTGTTGCCATGGAAACTGCATAATGAGGATAGAGGTGCAGGAGAGGAAGCAACATCTTTGCGTGGTTGTGTTTGGTTGTGTGTGTGTGGGGGGGATGTGATGT